GAGCAGAGTGAGGAGGAGATAATACGGGGTGGAGAGGGATGAAGATGAAAGGAACAGAGAAGAGGAGACTCCTAGGTGTTCTCTTGAGATTTCAGTACAAATTCACCCCAGTGTGACTGCTACGATAACCAATCACTGAAGCTCCAGCAGTCATTAGAGACAGGAAGGACCGTCTTGTGGTTGCGGCACCGGGCTGGGCCTGAAGAGTTCAGGCCTCAGCTCCTGTTTCTGCCACAGACTTCTGGTGTAACCTTGAACAAGTCACTCGATCTCCCTGTGACTCAATTCCCCACCCGTGAAATGGGGCTAATAAATCCACCCAGTGTTGATTTAGATTGTAACCTCGTCAAGGCAGGGGTTGTATTTGGGTATGTCCAGTGCTTAGCACAAGGGGTCCCTAATCTCAGGTGGTACAAATAATTAGAACAGTCATATCAGCTCCCAGTGAGTGAAGCCGCTTTGAGCTCAGTTAGATCCCTGCTTACTTTGCCTTTATATTGATTTATAAAAGTCAGCATTGAGGAAGAGAGACTCCACCTCCCCTATAGCAGCTTGGGCCAAAGGGCCCCAAGTTTGGGATCTTGACTCCCACAATGGCCAATGCCAATTGCTTCAGAGGAAGGTTGAAAAAGACCATAATGAGACTGGCCAATTGTGCCAGGCTGAGCACAGGGAGAGGTTCCCCCCTGTTATTTTGTCTGCCTCTTCGTGGCATGGCTGCCTAGGTGGGTTGAGCAAATTCTTTCTTGTCCCCTTGTGGCGACAGGTTAATGCCCTGGAGCATGAGACTAGATTAGCCTTGCTTTAGCACTTCCTCTGGCTAAGAGAAATAGCTCTTATGCCGGCCTTTATCCCAAAGGCCACTCAAAGAAATTGCACCCTGATTGTAGAAGGGGAGCTCTTACCTGCTTTAATGATTTCCAAAATTTTCATGGTGTAGTAGTCAGAACCGCCCACTTCTTCACTGCTAACAAGCCTGGTTTTATACACTTAAAAAAAAGGAAGACATACAAAACACCAGTTGAAGGTCTGCAGTACTTTTCTGTAGAGAATTCAGTGTATAACTGACTCCCCAAACTGGCTGTGAGAAAGATGGTGCATGGTGAGGCCAATAGCTGGAGACCGTGGTTCATTTCTCTGCTCCACCACAGACTTGCTGCGTGACCTTGGGCAAGTCACTTAGTCGCTCCATGCTTCAGTTTCCCCTTTTGTACAATGGGGATAATGGCACTGCCATGCCTCACAGGAGGTTGTGAGGATAAACACATTAAAGATTGTGAAGTGCTCAGATACTAGGGAAATGGGGGGTAGATAAATACTTAGGGCTAGACTGAATCTTAAACAGTCATCTGATCTTGTTCATTTCTGGGAATTTAAGGCCCCAAAATCTCATGAGATTTCTGCCCCAGCAGATCCAGACCTTACCCCTGATTCAGCCCCAAAGGCAAACTTTACAATCCAAATCGAATTCCGAACCCTGTCTCTGCGCTCTCCTCATGGAGAAAGACTCCGCAGAGCCAAATTACAGATTTACCATAATCCACTCCAGGTTCACAGGCTTCCTCCATTCGCTTGTTCAGGGTGATGGGACCCTCTAGCTTCTGCTGCATGAAGCAGCTTTCTATGGGGAAGGAAGATGGGGTAGAGAATCACCAAGGGAGACCATAGTTTCAGCTCTGTTATTAGTGACCCACAGGTGCCCATCTATTTGAATCCTGGGTGAGCCGTGCTAACCCACACAGTGACAGGCCCACCTCCTCCGACAAGCGAGTGACCATGAAGCCAACCACGCATCATGTTATGGGGCATAGGCGCTGACTCCATGGGTGCTCTGGGGCTCAAGCACCCATGGAAAAAAAATAGGGAGTTCTCAGCATCCACCAGCCACAGCCATTCGGCGGGGCTGCTGATCAGCTGTTTGGCAGCTGTCGGGAGGCATTCGGTGGAGAGCAGCTGGCAGGGGCCTCGTGGGCGGGGGCAGAGTGGGGGCAGGAAGTGGCAGAGCGGGGGTGGGGCCTCGGGGGAAGGGGCAGAGTGGGGGTGGAGCACCCACCGGGAAAAATAAAAGTCAGCGCCAGTGCTATGGGGCATGGTAAAAGAAGAAACAAGAGATAGAGGGGTAGGTTGCAGGGTCTAAATGAGGCGATCCTGAGCAGACCGACTCAGACACTCTGCAAAGGAATCAGTAGATGTTGCCCAGAGGAACTCTGCCTGGATATATGAAATAACCAAGGACCATAAATAGGCCTGGCAATCACAGCTCACTTCCCTCTCTGCACTGATGGATATCTGCCTGGGTCAGCGCCAGGAGGAGCCTGGTCACAGGACTTAGTGGAGCTGCAGATGGGGAATCAAAGGTGATGGGAAGGACAGATCCGGAGACTGAGCGCCTCTCTGTATGCCCGGCAGACAGCAGGGCTACAGCAAGTTCCCCACTGAACAACAGCCCCACCAGTGGGTCTCCACCCTCTTCTAGGGGATCCCTTCCTAAGAGTCAGCGGGGAGTGGAGCCTCCATGGCTCATTCAATACTTGGCCTCTGTGCTGACACTGACAGCAGGGGACTGAGGGGGGCCAGCTCTGGGCATCCTGGAATGAGAGGGCCCAGATATTTTAAAGAAGTGCCTGACTTCATGTCACCCCCCTCCCACCCCGAGGCTGGATTCCAACCATTGAAACAGCTGGTATGTTTCCACTGAAGTTTCAGAACCAGGGAGGAGCATCCCCGTCAGAATGGCTGGAAACCCAGCAACTCCTGCATCCCAGACTGCCCTGCTTCAACGTGTGCAGCCCCACTCCACGGATCAGCTGGCTAGAGAAATTCTGCTTCTACATCCTGCTGCCAGCTCTCCTGCGATTGGCGGGTGTGGTTGCCACTGAAGAAGGGAGGGAGGGACCGCGGGTGAGGGTAGGTGGTCAGGAGGGTGGAAACCCTCTGTGAATGCCGGAGAGAAGGGATAGGAGAGGGAGTGAAGGAAGATATCGGGTTTGAGGGGCAGGCTTCAGGCTGGGAAAGTGGGTCCCGGGGGTTCCTACCTCCTCCAAGGCCCATTCCAGCCCCTCTGGGTTCCGCTCCCTGGCCCGATCCCAGACCCTTCAGTCTCTTCTGGGTCCTCTCTTGCCTCACCTCCCCAGGCGTGCATGAGTTCATGTGAGGGTGCATCCCGCACATATTTCCACTGAGGGTACCCTCACCCCGACCCTGGTCCCACCATTCCTGTATGTGGTGGTGTGTAGCAGGGACACAGCCGGCCAAGCGTCAGAGCTCCAGGCTGGGGGACAGACCCAGGGACCGTCCTGCCTGTGGCTGCCATGAGCCTGTATCGCACGTGAGAATCACCCAGAGCCCACAGGGAAGGAGGGCCCTGATCGGTGACAGAGGGGGCTGATGCTGGGGGGCCCTGGGACTGCGTGTTTGCTGATAAAGCTGACGGGGGAGCCCCCACCCAAGATGTAAGCAGAGACAGGACTCTCCTTACCTTCTGCACAGCGGCAGACTTCCCCGTGACAGATCTTATTGAAGAGCCCGCTCTGCTTAGACGGGTGGTAGAACTTGGTGCACCGGTCATCTAGAGAAAGATCAGAGACACGGATCATTCCCCATCCCGCAGAACAATGGCCACAGTTTACAGCACCTAGGAGACAACCCTGAAGCCCTTACTCAAGCAGAAGTCCCACTGGGTGACCCTGGGGAAGGGAGCAGCAGTCTGTGGGAACGACTTTCTTAGCTACAGGAAACCATCAACTTGAAATGATGGACTGGTGCTTGTTGGAGACACCCTCTTAATCACGCTAGCAGCAAATTCACCGCTGGAGGTAAAACGGGGGGAGAGGGCAAGTAGGATAATTATTGCCTGTAGTCAGAGGTTCCCCTTATTATTTTGTCTACCTTTGCATGGGTGTGTTAAGGTGATGAGTGTGACCATGTATTTCCAGCATGGGGTAATATTAGAACAGGAGGAACTGGGAGGTGGCCAGGAAGTCAGACTAGATGATCAGGATGGTCCCATCTGGCCTTAAAGTCTATGAGTCTAAAACCCCTGTGTTCTAATCCAGTAGTTCTCAACCAGGGGGACACATACCCTAGCGGTACCCCAGGGTTATGTTAACTTATCTAGATATTTGCCTGGTTTTACAACAGGATCTAGAGCCCTGCAGCGGGACTGGGATCCCACAGGGCCCGTTGCCATAATAGCAGGAGTGAGATAAAAATTCAACAAACAATGCAGGAGCGGGTGGGAGTGGGAGTAGATATTGTGAGGCGGGATGGGAGCAGGATTGAAAAAATAGTCCTCATTCACCGCAAACAACATGAACGCCTCAGCCAGCAGCCACTGCTCTCTGGCTGCTCAGCTCTGAAGGTAGTGCTCCCGCCAGCAGCAGCGCACAAGTAAGGGTGGCAATATCATAGCATGCCACCCTAATGTCTGTGCTGCTGCTGGCGGTGGCACTGCCTTGAGAGCTGGGAGCCTGGCCAGCAGCTGCCGCTCTCCAGCACCAAGTGACCAGGCTCACAAGTGAAAACAGGCTCACGTCTAGGGTGACCAGATGTCCCGATTTTATAGGGACAGTCCTGATTTTTGGGTCTTTTTCTTATATAGGCTCCTATTACCCGCCACCCCCATCCTGATTTTTCACACTTGCTGTCTGGTCACCCTACTCACGTCTCACACTGAAATGTAAGTACAATATTTATATTTCAATTGATTTATTTCATAATTATATGGTAAAAAATGAGGAAGTCAGCAATTTGTCAGTACTAGTGTGGCTGGGACACTTTTGTATTTTTATGTCTGATTTTGTAAGCAAGTCGTTTTTAAGTGAGGTGAAACTTGGCGTACGCATGACAAATCAGACTCCTGAAAGGGGTACAGTAATCTGGAAAAGTCAAGAAGAGAGCGTGAGCTAGTGTAGAGCAGGAGATGGGGATTCGGGACGCTTGGGTTCTATTTCCAGTGGTGGGAGAGGACTGTGTATGCGGAAGCTGTACTTAGAGCTCTGAACTGGCAATCTGCTCCCAGCTGTGCTACCAGCTGTCTAGGGCTTACCTGAGGGCAAGTCTCTCAACATTTCAGTGCATCCCTACTGTGACACGGGGATAATGATACCTAAGTACTACAGCAAACGACTGCAAGATGTAATGATACCAATGTAACCCAGAGCAGAATTTGAAGCCATGGTGCCTTGAATGGTGAGGAGAGCTGCGATCTGTTACCTATGGCGTAATAGTCGTAGACTGTGACGGATGCCGGCTGAATGAGACCAACTTCGAAAAACTGGTGAGCTTTAAACTGCAGGCATTCGTCCTCTCTGTGAGAAACCTGGGTGCGGGGGAAATAACAGGATTGCTTAGGCCGAAGGGTGGCTGGATGGAAGAGAGAATGAAAAAGAATAAAAGAATGGGAGATGTTGGGGAAAGAAGAGGAGAAAGAGAAAGTGAGGAATGTGGAGGAAAGAAGAACTAGAGAAGTGAAAGGAGCAAGGAAAGAAGAAGTGAATGACACAGAGAAGAAAATTCAGCCTTAATATCAGATGCTGCATTTCCCACTAAAGTCAATGGACCTACATCCACATACACCAGCTGAGGATCTGGCCCATTCAGTTGTTCCTAGTGGAAAACCTGAATCTGGGCCAGTGAGTCAAATTCGGCCATGGGCTGCAGTTTGTCAACTTGCTGACGTCTGCGGGGATGCCAGGGTGTATCTGGGAGAGCAGTTTGGTTCATCAGGAGCCCATGAAATTAACACAGGATCAGAGAAGCCCCTTGTCGAGTCTTTACCTTGTCCAGGTAGATCATGAGGTTGCCTCTGTCGGACGGGGCTTTGTCGACTTCAAACTTGGAAATGTATCTGTCGACCCCTTGGGAAAGCTAAATGTGAATAAGAAAAAGCAAGAGGCATTGTGGGTAAGGCAGCATCTCTGTGAAAGTCCTGCAGCTGGGCGAAAAAACCCCACCATCTTGCTACGTGACTCAGTGGTGTCGTGCTTGTGATCACGTCTCCCATGATAGGATCTGCACGGAGGATACTAGCCTGCTATTTATTCAACAGCTAGTGTTGCCAGGTGGCTGGTTTTTGAGCGGAACAGCTGGTCAAAAAGGGACCCTGGCAGCTCCAGTCAGCAGCGCAACGGGGCAAAGGCAGGTTCCCTGCCTGTCTTGCTCCGCACAGCTCCCGGAAGCAACCAGCATGTTCGACTCCTAGGTGCAGGAGCGGCCACAGGGGCTCCGTGCACTGCCCCTGCCCCGAGCGACAGCTCCGCAGCTCCCATTGGCCAGGAACTGCAGCCAATGGGAGCTGCAGGGGCGGTGCCCGCAGGTGCGGGCAGCAAGTAGAGCCCCATGGCCACTCCACCGAGGAGCCGGGGGAACATGTCACCGCTTCCAGGAGCCGCCTGAGGGAAGTGCTGCCTGGCTGGAGCCCACACCATGAACCCCCTCCCACACCTCAACCCCCTACCCCAGGTCAGAAACCCCTCCCACACCCTAACTCCCTCCCAGAGCCCACACCCCTCATCCCCTCCAGCTCGCCAACTTCTTGCCCCAGCCCTGTGCCCTCTCCTGCACCCCAAACCCCTCGGCCCCAGCCCCACCCTAGAGCCCACATCCCCAGCTGGAGCCCTAACCCGCTCCCTGCACCTCAAACTCATACCCCACCCAAGAACCTCCTCCCGCACCCCGAACACTTCATTTGTGGGCCCCACTCTGGAGCCCGCACTCCCAGCCAGAGCTGTCGCCCCCTCCTGCACCACAACCACCTGCCCCAGCCCGGTGAAAGTGAGTGAGGGTGCAGGAGAGTGAGCAACGGGGGCGGGGGCATGGAGTGAGCGTGGGGGTCAGATGTTGGAGAAGGGGCGAGGCAGGGGCGGGGCCTCAGGAAAGGGGCAGGGCAAGGGTGTTTGGTTTGTGTGATTAGAAAGTTGGCAACCCTATCCACAGCTAATGGAGCTGGTACTCTCGCTGAAACAGTTGTGCTTTTCATGATAAAGGTCCAGGTTCAGTGACCACAGTCTACGTATGCACAGCGTACATACATTACATTTGTCATGAAAGAGGTGCCGGGGCTCAAGCAATTTTTTTTTTTACTTTCATAACTGAAGCAGCAAGCCCAGAGGTGCCGGGGCTCTGAACTGCCAGGCCTAGAGGTGCCGGG